CTCATCTCTAGACTAACGAGACCCAAATGCTGTACCTTTTCCTCATAAGGGAGGTGCCTCAGCCCAGCAATCATTTTAGTTGCTCTCTTTTGCACCTTTTATTAAACTTAAATCTCTTCTTTCTTCCCTAGCTCTTCTCTTGGCTTTATCATTGAACACTCTTTCTCTTGCACTCACCTTCCATACTTAGTAGGTTGCCAAAATCTATTCATTTATTTAAAATATTTTATGTTGCCTTCTAATGTTTCTGGACATATTCTCCCAAAGCGGCTCGTAGAAATGGGAAAACCTAATCCTAAAATTCAGTTAGACGTATGGTTTAAGATAACATAATGTAAACACTACAATAACTGAGCCATATAAACTTTGTTTAAAAACCGCAGATCAAATCCAATATGGAAATCAAGAAATGGTCTGAAACAAATAACGGAAAACTATGAATTGATATATCAATAATTTGAAAGTCATAAAGTTTTTTAAAAATCTACTGTAAATAGAAAATACAATATTTTATAAAGACAAAAGCGATATAGTTTCAATCTTTACAATACAGAGGAATGCAGCTGTTTAAGAAAACTTTAGATTCAGCTCCCTTCTTAACTACAGAAAACATTCTTGCTCAGCATTTGTTTCTCACAGTATGGCAAATTCTTTCTTCACCTGTGCTCAAAATTCTTACCAATGAAAATCATTGACTCTTCTCATTAGCCTACCATCTCTCCAGACATCCCTGTGATGGCTTTGTGCTCACCCCCACCATGATTTTCCACCCTTGCCTTCAAATCCAGCCATGTCCCTTCACTTCTGTGATCTCATATAACAAAATATGTCACTTCCATGACCTTTGCTGTATTAGTACTATCACCCTTTGCTCCAGAAAGACTTCCTGCTTCCTTGAACAACTTGTCAATTGTACTTATCTTTATCTACTAGAAATTTGCATGTAATATCTCACTCTGCCTTCCCAAATCAATGTTTTCCAATTAAGCCTTTTGCACAGTCCTGTAGTCCTCATATCCTAAAGCTGACATGAGGAACCTATGGCCCTCCATGAGTTTTGTTGAGTTGCAGTGGCCATACTGATAAGAAAGGGGTAGGAGTCCAACATGTGGAGGATCACAAATTCTGCTTCCTTATCCTAATCTAGCTAAGCCTATGAGCGAGAATAGATTCTTAATTCAGAGAAGAAAGGACAAGAAACAAGTTTACTTTGGGATGCATAGAGGTGAAAGAAGGTGCAAAATTTTCATTTAGAGCTTCTGAATCAGCAAATAATCTTAGAACTGCAAAGCTGAAGGGACCCTATGGATCATTGAATCCAGACCCTGTCAAGGAAGCATAGTCAGGAATTGAGCTCCCAATGTCTGGCTGTGCAACCAGAGACCTAAACCACTAAGCTATCCAGAATTCTATATATTTTCCCCTCGCATCAGTTCTCTTTCCCCTTGAATGGAAAAAGACTCTTCTCCCACACCATGCTCTGTTGAAGGTGAAGGGAGCTGACTCGCCCTCTCACTTGCCTACCTGTCTGCTTACAATACAGTACCTGTAGTTGGATGCTGAACACCAGACTTTGCCAGCATGTGTGCACAAGATGATATCCCTCTGCAGCATGAATGGAAAGTGGTTTTGAAGGATGGGCCACTGTTCAGCAACATGAGCCCATGGCAACCTGAGGGGAGGGCAGAAGTGATGTGAGAGAACCAACAGGGAGTGACACAGGAGGGTCCTGGCTGTAGGAAAGGTGTGGGTGTATGGAATGGCACAAAAATACCAATAGGCTGATATGAAATGTAAGTTCCTTTACAAGAACGCGGCACGAAAGTATTGCACAAATCCAGACATAATCTGATAAATTAGTCCACATTTCTGCCAACACCAAGCACTTTTAATTCCTACTGACTTCAACAGGATATATTAAGTAAGAACACTCCTAACTCATTTAAATCAAGAGTTGGTTTAGGCTCAGCTATATCTTCTATAGTTATTTCTTCCAAAAAGCTTGTGGTCAAAGCTGAAAATTTCTGTGTCATTTATGATACACCTGATTCTTCACTTACTCAGCTAAAACCTGCTGCAGAAGGCTCTGGAAGGGAACAGATGGAGGGAGAATGAAGCTGTTTGCTAGGTTAACTACGATTCTGAAACAGTATTTCTATAGACAATTACTTTCTTGAGAAGTCAGTGGTAATGTTGAGCCAAGTCCCACAGCTCTGATGCAAGACTGCAGCCAATTTAAGTACTGTATTCTCAAGTTGCAAAACCTCAGCTTTACTTTGCTCCATCAGCAATCAATTACCACAGCTCAGTGGGACTTACTTCTAGCTAATCAGATGACTTGAGGTTCACAGACTGTACCACAATAATAAGCCAAATGAGTTATTAAACTTTGTCCACTTTTATTATTTTTGTGCAGCAGTATTTTATGAGGTTTGCTGCACATGAAAAAGGCAATAGAACTATACAACTTCTCTTGTGCATGCACAAGAAAGTTATTTCCATATATTGCTGCACATGAAAAAGGCAATAGAACTACACAACTTCTCTTGTGCATGCACAAGATTTCTTCTGGTCTGATGTACTCGCCTTTCATAAATTTAAAGTAATTTCCATATGTGCGTGCGTGCGTGCGTGCGTGCGTGCATGTGTGTGTGTGTGTGTGTGTGTGTGTGTGTGTGTACACATATGTGGGGAGAACAAAACTGCAACACTGACTTCTAGCTTATACAGATTCACTGATTTCAGTAGTACAGCTAAGGGATGGATCACTTTCCCACAGTGAAATTAACAGGGCTGTAAAATGCCTAATGTTAAAGTGCTCACTATGTGGGTTGCACCCACGTTGTTTCTGCTAGTAAATCATTTCTTTTTCTTCCAGCAAAAGACTACAGATGACTTTCACTAAACTGAGAAACCCTCAACCTCATCCTTAAACATACTGAAAAACCTGTTTTGCTACCCATGCTATCCATATTGGTCATTAGTTACTTCTGCTCATTATCTACTTACAAACTGAGATTGGACTATGTGTTGACAGAGATTTAAAAGGGAAAAAAACTATAGGCTCTTTTGTTATTGTCCTATGGAAATGGCATGCAATTTACTCTGAGCATTTTTATTTTTTAAAAGCAGGATACAAGTGGTATTTAAAAATAAATCTATAAAATAAGATGAAAGCAAATACTGTATTTCAATTTGTTACACTAATTTCCAGTCCTCATTTCTGGTCATTCCTAGTTTTTCCCCAAGTTGATATTAGAACGAATATGAAACTATGGTCCAAATCAAAGTAAATTACTTAAGGTTACGGTCTTATAAAAGCATATGAAGCTACCTCACTGAGTCAGATGACTGATCTATATTATACCGGCTCTAAAGACTTTCCCACCCTTATATTGAGATGTCAGGGACTTTGTTAATGTAGGTTTTATAGTGGATACAGTATGTATTTTGCCACTGAGTTGCACCCTGCCCCAACAACCTAGATCCTAATAATACATATCAAGGGACACACCCATTGAATAAAATGGGACTAATATGCACAGGTAAACAGGGGTAGGTTGGATGAAATGTTCCATTCTTTTTAACTGGAGACATAAGCTTGCCTCCACTCTCTGACTGAAATCTATGGAACATAAAAGTGCTTAGGTTTAGTTTGATTAAACTTTTAAAAGTAGGGCCTGTCAAAACTAAGTATTTACTCTGTATGACCTTAGGCATACAGACATGGAAACTGAGCAATTCAGAAAAACTAATTTCCTACAAGGAAGAGTTTAGGAATGCATCTCTAAGATGTTGAATTGTGTCCCACTGAAATTAATTAAATCTACTGTGATGATACATATGTTATGAGCAATGGGTACAAAGCGACTTCTTAAACATCCACAGTTTAAGAAAACAGACCCACATACCTTTGACAGTCATCTCAAGTAGATTAATTACACCATTGCACACTTCTTATTTACACAACCAGGTTAATCAAACACTGCTAAGAAGATACATTTCCCCTTGGTCTTTAAAGGTGAGTTGTTGGAGTGGGGGAAAGCAGGAGAAGGATCTGTGAGCCACACCACTCTGTTTAGTCATTGTTAATTTATCTGGCATATTATTTACATTTAAAAAAACAGCTTTGGTAAACAGATTATATTAACTATCCACTCGGCATTTCTAGGAAAGTAGAAAGTCCATGCCTGCAGCAGTCTCCAGACAACACTGGAACAGCCCTTAACAGTAAGTGTGATAAAAAATAACACAATGGTAAAGAAATTATACCAATATCCTTTCAGCTCAGTATCATCTGCCTCATTTCTTCTTACATTCTGATGCATTATCTTTTCTAAGATAATAAGGGCCCTTATTTCATCACTCCACAGCGCAAACCAGTCCTAACACCTGTTGATCATCCTGCTTCTGGAACAGAACTGTCTTTCACCTCCAATTCAGCAACCAAACAACCCCCGTCTTCGCCTGTGAAATTTATTTTGATGCTCTTTTTCAAAACTGTCAGCTGGAAGCTTGTGATTTCCGGCCACATTTCTCCCTGTCTTCCTCCCGAGTTCCACCATCTGACTGATGGAAAAACTGAATAAGGATTTCCAGATCTGGCTTTTCACAGAGGAGAGAAAGGAAACTTCTCAGTGCCTCCCCTGGCAGAAGCCACTTCTCCCTTTTCCACTCCCGTTAACCAGTGTTTCTAACTTGGAAGAGCAAAGTCCTCCTGGCAGAAAGAACTCCTGCCACGGAGCTTTCTTCCCGATTTCCATTCATCCCTCCGTCTTGTTCATGCAGCCCAGCCGTACTTTTATTTTAAAAATTGGTAAGATAGAGGGTAAGAAAGAAAGAAAGAAAGAAAGAAAGAAAGAAAGACACCGCCTCCTGCTCCCACGGATGGGACACGGACATATATAAACAACTCACCCCATCTCTTTCCCCTTTATGCCCTTCCCAATATAGACATTTGGCCACCTTTGACAGAGGTCACCGCCGTACCCTTCTCTCACCTCAGTCCGTCCAGGCACTCCGAGCGCTTTTAGAGCCTATCTCTCCGCGAGAGAGCCCCTTGCCGGGCGACGAGAGGCGCTTGCTGAAGCCGGAGAGGGCTTGCCCCTGAGCGCGCGTGTGCCAGACGTTCTCCTCTCGGTTCTGGTGGCGCCAAACCAGTCGCCCACCGGCGCCACTCCACCGCCCGACCCCTTGAAAGACGCAACCAGGCACCTGGCTCGCCTCGCGTGCCTGAGGAGAACCTGGCGCTTTGACGCGTAGGCGAGGGCGCAGCGGAGCTGCTCCTTCGGCGGCCGCAGAAGCAACCGCGGCGGCGGCAGGGGAGGGAGGAGGCAACGCGAGCGGGGAGGAGGGAACTGAGGAGACCGTGGGACTGCGCGGGCCGGCGCTAGCGAGAAGTTGCGCCTTAGAAACGGAGGCGCTGCTCCCTCAGACGTGCCCAGAATCACAGCTGGGAAGGCGCTCCTAGGGCCCCTTAGGATTCCCGTTCAGTGTGGAGTCAGGATAGGCCCAGCTAAAGCATCCCTGACCAGCTCCAGAGAAAGAAAGCCCTCCACCACCACCTTCCAGGTCTCCACTGCCTTTCCTGGAGGACCCCCCCCCTCCACCAGCAAGAGGGTTGTAATAAAAGATAGAAAAGTGTTATGGAGTCAATGTATCAGGGCAGGCCATGACACTGGCCAGAGTGAGGCAGCTACCTCAGGCAGCCGGTTTTGAGAAAAGGAAAGTGGTATTTAATGTTATAGTTGTAATTTTGTGGCTAAGATTGAGGAGAGGGACTAAGGGAATTTTCTATATCCAGTGTACAGTACCAAAATAAAATGGCTGGCTTTGGCCATTTTCGGTTTCACCTCAAGCAGCCTTGCTATACAGTATACAGTCCGAGCGGACTCTAGGGCAGTATGAAATCCAGAGCATCCTGAAACTGCCCTATGCCAGCTAGACTAGCTGTCAGTTTATTTATTTGCTCTGGTGTTACCTATTCTAACTAGCAGGATCTCTGGTAGCAACCTTTTCTACCACCAGGGGCCCTAACCCTACCCATTTTACCTAGAGAAAGACTAAGGCAGTGGTAAACCATTTCTGAATATTTTATGCTTGAAAACCTTATGTGCAATCCATTACAAAACAAGAGATAGTGCTTAGAGAGGAGGCTCTGAGGTCAGAGACATTCAGTTTGGTACTGGAGAAAAGCAAAACACTATGTACAAATAGTGCTGTTGCTAATAGGCTAAAGCTAAAAGGAAGCCGAGCTGCTGATGTGTGCAGAAGGGAGGTTCAGTGCTGCACCATACGTATATTGGAACTTAGAATGTGAGACATATCAATCAAGGTGATCTCAAAATGACATAACAAGAAATTGAATGTTTAATTAATATATAATACTTGGAGTGAGTGAATAAAAATAAACTTGAATAGAACATATTCAATCAGATATTACAAAGTGTTTTACTGTACTCTGGAAATTTATCCCCCGCCTATCTGGTGATTTCAACCACTCTAGGCGGCTTACAACATAGAATACAACACAAATATAAAAATTTATTACAAAGTGTTTTACTCTGGAAGCAACAAACTCAGAAAAAACAGAGTGGCTTTAATAGTGATGCAAAATATAAGACGAATACCAGCTACAGGGTTAAGTGTAACCAAATACTGTAGTATGGCTGAAGAAGAAGACATTTAAAGCTTTTATGCAGAAGTCTAGGAGGAAATTAATTAGATGCCAAAACAGAATGTGTTTATAAATATTTTTCAACAAAATGAAGGGAAAGCTGCTCTCAAAGCAATTGGAAGAAAGAAATTAAGAACATAAGAAGAGCCCTGCTGGATCAGGCCAAGGGCCCATCTAACCCAGATTCCTATATCTCACAAAAATGCACTAGCCAATATTATTGGCACCCTTAACTAAATATTTGGTAGCACCCACTTTGGAAAAAAATAACTAAAATCAGTCACTTCCTGCAACCATGAATGAGTTTCTTACACCTCTCTATTAGAATTTTAAACCACTCTTCTTTTGCAAACTGCTCCAGGGCCTTCAGATTTGAAGGATACCTTCTCCCAACTGCTGTTTTGAGATCTCTCCACAGGTGATCTATGCGATTCAGATCTGGACTCTGTTGCTGGTCATTTCAGAACTCTCCAGCACTTTGTAACCATTTCTGAGTGCTTTTTGAAGTATGTTTCGGGTCATTGTCCTGCTGGAAGACCCATGACCTCTGGTGGAGATGCATCTTTCTGACAAGTATGATTACTATATTGCCCACACCTCTTACTTGCAACAGGTGTGTTTAAATACAAATTAAAAGAGCATCACATGCTTGAAAAGCAATTATTTCTTACAGTTTAGACAGGGTGCCAATAATTTTGGCCAGTGCATTTTTGGGTTTCTGTGTGGGATTATTTCAGATTTGACTTTTCTTCTCTGGTTTGTTTGTGTGTGTGCGTGTTGTTCCAACACAAACCAAAGAAATGAATATGCGAGTACCAAAACATTTGCAACTGCAACAATTTTCTGAGAGAAGGATTGCATTTTCTGACATAATTGCAAAGGGTGCCAATATTTTTGGCCATGACTGTACAATCCTTCCCTTTTATTCCTTCTCACTTCTTGTTCCTCCATCTCTCCCCAATATGGAGGTTTTCTTACAGGTTTCTCTCTCCATTCTCTTTGGGCTTACCTGGACACCTTAAGAGTTACCCACTCCACAGACTAGGGGTCGCCTTTTAAAATTTTTACCTAATTATCTTCTTCCTCCTGTTCCTCTGCTGTTACCCAACACTCGTCCACCATTGCTGCGGCTCCTCATTCCTCCTCTCCTCCCCTTTTATCCTCTTTTCCTCCTGCCAAAGCTACCCGCTCTTCTGGCTATTTGTTTCCTGGGTTTCCAATTCCTCCAGATTTAAATCACATTTGCCTGTCATTCTGATAATGAGTTCTTTCATTTCAGCTGCTTTATTTAACATAATTGACATTACCTCAACTATTTTCTTGGGAGGAGATGGCACACCTCCTCTCTCTACTCCTGTCTCACACTATGTGAAAGATAAACAATGAAGAAAGCTGACAAAGAAATCAACTCATTTGAAAGGTGGTGGTGGATGTTATGAAGACCATAGATTGCCAGAAAGAAGTGGTTCTAGATCAGATTAAATGAAATCTCACAAGGTAAATTAACTAAACTGAGCCTATCATACTTTGGATATATTTTAAGAAGACAAGGCTTAATGCAATAGACGAATGTTCCAGGAAAAGAGGAAATGAACAAAAACATAACTTCTAATAGGGAAGCCTATTGCCATCTTGTCTATCATACTAGTTGTACATTCTGCACTTTTTGCATGGGCACATACCCTCAGAGCAGGTGTAAGACATTTTCCTCCCTGAGGTAGACAAGGTGGCATCCATCTCCCAATTTATGTACAAAAAAGCATGGCTAGTGTCGTTGATTATTATTAGTTCAGTACTGGTAAAGGATAAAGAGAAGATGATGTGTCCTTCACTGAGGGTACCAAGCTGGCTTAGGGGGCCATAGGATACACATTTTCTCTAACACTTTACCACTCATTCCTGTTCTTCAACCTGTACCCGATGGCCAGGTTGGCATTGCACATTCCTAGGATCAGAATATTAGTTTCACTGATGACTAAACTTTTGTAATATACAAAGTAGTTCTGGTAGATTTTAGCTCATATGGTTTTTTATTTCAGTGCCTAAGATAGTCAGACAACCTTCTGCATTTTCTCATAATGTAGCAAATGCATAAATGGTACACTTTACATACACAGAGACTATATTTGTGAAGATTCTCAGTCATCTAGGTGTGATTATCTGGAAGTTGAGTCATGGCAGCTGGATTTCTTTCCTGCTAGGTTGAAACTTTTTTGCTACTCATCCAAGTAGCTTCTTCAGTCTGAGGAGAGTTGGTAGGAGATCCCTGATGTATCCTCCAGGTTGGGTTCACTTTCCCCTGATCTGAATAGGCTGGTTAGATGGACAAAGGATGGGCGAGTGAGTGAAAAATCCTTCCTTGCACATTGGTTTCAATTCTTCTTGGTCTGAACAGGCTCATTAGAAGGACACTTCTGCAGCTCTTCTCCATTGTTATGTGTCCTTAACAGTTGTTAACAGTAGTCTTTCTGGTGTTTGTGGTCCTAATCTTTCTGGGGATGGATAAAAGAGTAGCATGTTAAATGTAAGAAACATCCCCACCTCCACAGAAGCCAAGAAGAAGGAAGGTGGGCATCTGAGGACAGCCCTTAAGGCATGTGGATATCCACAATGGGCCTTTAAAAAGGCATTGTCCCAATCCAGGAGGACAATGGAACAGTCTGAGACTCAGAGCCTATATGTCTGAAAAGCTCAAAAGAATTTTTGGTAAACACCACATACGGGTGAGTCACTTCAAACCCACAAACACACCAAGGCAGAGACTTGTCTACCCAAACACCAGAAAGACTACTGTTAACAACTGTTAATGACCCATAACAATGAGTGGAGAAGGACTGCAGAGGTGGGATTTTCATTCACACACCCCCATCCTTTGTCCATCTAACAAGTCTATTCAGACAAGGGTGAAGTGAAACCAATGTATAAGATATATCAGGAATCTCCTACCAACTCTCCTCAGACTAAAAAAGCTACTTGGATGAGTAGCGAAACATTTCAGCCTAACAAGAAAGAACTCCAGTTGCCATGACTCAACTTGGAGGTACACAGAGACTCTTCACTCGCACTGACTTGTTGGTTTTAAACTCTTCTACTAGAGTTTGTGATGGTTGAATTCAGAACTTGGACATTTTACATTTTCAGACTACAACTTCCAGAACCTCACAGTCAATATGGTTATTTGCCATATGTATCTAATCACATACATGCAATTTATGTTGTTTGCCACTCTACTCTTTTGTACTACTCCAATGCTGAGTGTTTTTGAGGGATGCATTACGTATTTCAACATTCTACAAGGTGGATGGCAACACTCATATAATTGTTGCTACCTCTATTTCCATGGAAAAATTGCATTCTACATGTAAGTAAAACAAAAACACATACTTT